TTTCTTCAAGCTCTAGTGAATTACAAATTATTTTCATAGGTTACTTGATTCCCAACAATCTAGAATTTACTGACCATTTTTTATTAAAAAAATAAAAATAAACAGCACATAGTGGAATCAAATGCAATTTAATTTGTCCTTTCCATATCCAAAAATTAACTGTACTTCATATATTTAATTTGGCCTATCTTTTAATTCCAGCAATATTTGTAAGAGTCCATGCAATTAAAATGCCCAAATACAATTAAAATCATTGTTTGCCTTCGTAAAATTTCAATGTGGTTTTGTTGGCAAAGCTTATTGTCATTTATTTGTCCTCAACTTTAAAGCTATCTCATTCTTACTGTAAGAGCACCCACATCTGCAATGCACATTAAAAAGGGAAAGGGTTTCAACTGCATGTGCCCACCTGCCAGCCTGACTTTTTTGATCTCTCTTAAAAATTTAGATTTGCAATCTAAATTTGTGTATTTCTTCCTTTGGAGACAGGGAGGAAGAACTGATCTTGGAGAAATATGAATCGAAAATTTCCACGAATACTGGAGTAGGGCTAAGAGATTACTGAGTTTGTAACACCACACTGAAAAGCCATTTCTAAACTCTGAACACTTTCATATCTATTACAAAATTTTCCAAGTATATTCCAATATTATATAATTGTCAGTTATCTCTGACTGTCTCCTATATATACATACAGGTAGTCCTCAACTGAAAACAATTTGTTTAGCGATCATTCAAAGTTTAAACGGCACTGAAAAAAATAACTTATGACCGTTTTTTAGTACTTACGATCATTGCAGCATCCCGGTGGTCACATGATCAAAACTGGTTCATATTTATGACGGTTACAATGTCCCAGGGTCATGTGATCACCTTTTGGGATCTTCTGACAAGCAAAGTCAATGGGGAAGCCAGATTCACTTAACAACCTTGTTACTAATTTAACAACTGAAGGGATTTACTTAACAAATGTGGCAAGAAAAGTCGTAAAATGGGACAAAATTCACTTAACAAATTTCTCAGTTAACAACAGAAAGTTTGGGCTCAATTGTGGTCATAAGTCAAGGACTACCTGTATACGAAAGACAACAAATGCAGTCTGAAATCTTGAAGAGTTTGTTAGTGAGGTGGGAGGAGCAAAAAAGGACACTGAAATAATATGGTATATCCTACTCTAAAAAAGACATAGTACATTGCTAAAGCTCCTTAAGTTTCTAAGTCAAGTTTATTTCCTGTGACAAGACATACAGTTTGCAGCTGTTTCAATTCTAAAACAGCTGGTTTCCAGAAATGGTTAAAAAAAAAAAACCTACTGCCAAATGACAGGTTTCATTTTACTGAAACCATTATTTGATTGGAATGGAGTAAGCCTCTTTTGGGTTATTAAAATAAAAAGTAACATTCCATTATAAATAGGTATTTTGATTAAGTAGAAGTGGTTGATTGCATGTAATGTTCTAATTCTCAGCTGTACTATGATCCTGAGTAATTCTTTTTAAAGTGTGGTTTAATTTAGCATCCTTAGGAAAACAAAAAAGACAGCTGTTAAAATTAGTAAGGCAAGAACAGGGTCAAAGCTGTGAAATGGTAAGTTTGACTAGGCAGACAATACTGGATTTATGGAGATCAATTATAATCCTGCACAAACTTTCAGCAATGTTAGTTTTCCCTTTAAGAATGAAATGTTAATATATGGCTTCTTGCTTTTGGACATAAAAGTAATGGTACAAGCAAATTGAACCAGTCTATCTCTTTGTTATACAGGTTACTGTTACATTGTTATCCCACTTTTTAAAAATATATTTTTAAATATATATTACCAGGCTGTCAGCCGCCCTGAGTCCGTAAGGAGAAGGGCGGGATAAAAATCCAAAATAATAAATAAATATTTTGAATATACATAATACTCCTGCCTCCTATTTTTCCCACAATAACCCTGTCAGGTGGGTTGGACTATGAGAGAATGACTGACCAAAAGTCACCTAACTTAGGGGTCCCCAACCCCTGGTCCGCGGCATGCCAGCTACCGGTCCGTGCAAACAAGCAAAGTCCCATCTGCGGGATGCATGCAGCACATGAAACTATGCCCCCTCCCGGTCTGCAGAAAAACATCTCTCCATGGGACAGGTACCCAAAAGGTGGGGGGCGAGCGCTGACCAAACTGGCTTTCATGCATAAATAGGGACTAGAACTCAGTCTTCTGGTTTCTCAGCCAGCGCCTTTACCACTAAACCACAGGTCAGCAACCTGCGGCTCTGAAGCCGCATGTGGCTCTTTGAGCCTTCCCCTACGGCTCCCAGCCTCTACCTTTTGCAGAGAGAGAGACAGAGACAGAGACAGAGAGAGGCACTTGCACTTCCATTCTCTCTCTCTCTCTCTCTCTCTCTCTCTCTCTCTCTCTCTCTCTCTCTCTGTGTGTGTGTGTGTGTGTGTTTGTAAAAAAAGAGAGTGGACTCATGGTGTTCTCCAATGAGCTGAAAAGCTTACTGGGTGGGGCTCCTACCTTGGCTGCGTCTCTGCAGGAAGCAGGAAGGGCAGGAGAGAGCTAGCTAGCCCAGCTATGCTGGCTGAGGAATTCTGGGAGTTGAAGTCCATGAGTCATAAAAGAGCCGAGGTTGCCTACCCCTGAGCTTGTTGGAGAACAGCTTGAAGCCAGCTTTCCAGGTGAGCAGAAGATCAGAGAGAGGGAGAGAGAGAGGGAAAGAGAGAGAGAGAGAGAGAGAGAGAGAGAGAGAGAGAGAGAGAGAGAGAGAGAGAGAGAGAGAGAGAGAGAGAGAGAGAGAGAGAGAGAGAGAGAGAGAGAGAAAGAGAGGAAAGAGAGAGAGAGAGAAAGAAAGTGGGGGAAGAGGACTGGCAGACCAAGGGCGGAAAGAGAGAGAGGGAGTGGGAGAGAGGGAGGAGGGAGGGAGGGAGAGAGAGAGAGAGAGAGAGACCCTTTTGACATCTAAAATGAAGATAACACTGCATATACCCTTTTTTACCTTTATGATATCTATATCTATATCTATATCTATATCATGGTAAAAAAGGATATATGCAGTGTTATCTTCATTTTAGATATTAAAAGGGTTTTGCGGCTCCCAGTGTTTTGTTTTCGGTGGGAAACGGGTCCACGTGGCTCTTTGAGTGTTTTGGATTGCCTACCCCTGCACTAAACCAATGAGATCTTTTTTTTCTTTTGCTGAAAGGTTGGTATTACTGCTTTTATTTTTTTCTTAAACAAAATTAAATTATTTTAGCTAATTAATTTTAATTTTTTTATTTAAAAATAATTTAATTATTTAAAAAAATTTAAAAGAGAATTCAGCAATTCTCTTCACTTGGGCACTAAGAAATTTGGAACTCTTCATCAGCAGAAAGCAATATAGAATTTTTTAAAAAATAAAGCTGAGATGCATGGAAAAAGGAGAAAAAAAGCTAGGTGCTAGAACAGTATTTCTCTATTTTTCAGTTCTTATAGTCTTTTCTTTCATGTACTCCACCCTTTAATGGATGCTATTATTCTCTCTCTTCTATTTTCAGAAGATTGCAGATCCATGCTGTCAAAACTGAGTGACCCTGATTGACAAGCATGTGACCTATCAGGCAAAGGGTGCAAAAACAGCTTAATATGAAAATCAATGGAAGAAGAGTAACAACAAATTGCCTAGATAGGTCTGTTCAGTGAGATATGCTTTTCAAAAGCACTTGAAAAAGAAAGGAAATAGGTTTCAGGGGATGGATGCTAAACTTTCAACAAATGGAATGCTAGAAGAAATTTTCTGAAATATCTAAATTGCTTTCCCCATAGCCATGTCATTCATACCCAGTTCAGAATATTATTAAGATTTTGCTGATAGAGTATGAAATTACTTCTGGTATAAATGTTGGGGAAATTGGAGAATAATAAATGGATGGATAGCTGAGTAAGTTAGGCAAACGTAGCTTTTCTTACAGAATATGCAAGGTACACATTGGTAGAGTGGTATGTACTGTGCAGCATATGATTCATTTAAATATGAATTGAAATCTGAAATAAATATAGATGCGAAGACAGCATCTAGGAACAGAGGCCACTGGACACTGAAAAAAAGCACTTTTTTTCTTAAGCACTGAGCACAATCTACTGTTCCTTTCCATGCATTCTTCCCGTTATATCTGGCTTTCTAATGCCTTAAAATATTGCTTTCGCATCCCTTTCCCCAATATATGGGCATGATTTATGTGACTGCAGAAAAAGCATCACCTTCTAGAACAGGGGTGTCAAACTGCGTCACACCAAAACCGTGCCCACCCCATTGCCAGCAATGGGAAAAAAGTCACGATACGTCATGACATGTCACGTGACGTTGCGAGTTTGACACCCATGTTCTACAATGTAGCATCCCACATGTGCCCTTTAAGAAAGGGTGTTCAAAAGAACCAGGGGGCAATTCTTATGTACGTGTAATAGTACTGTGCTCTCTTAACCTATAAAGAGAAATAAATACATGGTATGCCAGTGCTATAATTAACCTTTTAACTCTACATTACAGATAACCTATTCTATGTTAATATCCGAGGACAGCGTTTTGATTCAGTGCAAGAATAATACTTTCTTAAGCACCCTTTTGTCTGAAAGCAATGCTACAATGGCACAAGAGGATATTTTATGTGACATCTTTCATCTTCAATCAAAAAATGGAATTTGGCATGAAGTCTGCTTCTTCTCAAAATAGTTGTTTCCTACAATAATAGGTGTTTGATTGATGGCCAATCTGACAAGCTTGGGAAATGATACATGAAGATGATTTCCTTCCTGTCTTGAAGGCAAGGCAAAAATGCACGCACTGCCAAACTGCTGGAGAGAAAAATATCTCAATTGGATTTATTCATCACAAATTTTCTCCCTGGGCTGGTGATACCTAGTGTGAATGGTCAAAAAAAATCAAATTCTTAACAAAAGAACTGCAAGTAATTTCTCATCAGAAAATACAAAAAGTCCCAAACAAGCTATACAAGCTGCCTCTCTTCCCTGCAAGTCAATAAAACATGCTGCCTATTTTTTTAAATCCCACCCTTCCCCCAAGGAGATCTGGAGACACTCCTGCAGAGGACTTGAGTTGATTGAAGACATGTGTATAAGGACCCTTTTTACATGCAAATTGGCCATGAGGGCTGCTGAAATCATTCCTTAACAGTTCAACTACATAATGCATAACAGCTGTGGAAACATCCACTGGCTTTTCATCAGGCTTACCTATGAGGCCATGCTCTGTACTTGAAGTGACAGTTTTGTAAGTTGCGTCACTGCCTGTTTTAGCGTCCAAAACTTCAGCTTGCTCTGCTGTTATGCTCTCCAGTCCTCTTCGTTTTACGGTCCCATAGTTTGTTTCGTGCAGGTCCGACAAGGAAGTAGATGAAGCCCAGCTATGCCGGGACTGGTCAAAGTCCATGCCAGTTTTGGATTGCCGACTACCGTCTGAGTGGCTGTGTGACTGCAAACGAGTCTCCTCAGGACAGCAGCTGGATGGCTCCACTTCAGCAATGGCCCTTTCTAAATGAGCATGGCGGTAAGAGTTTAAGAGGTCCCACCCCTTTTGGTTCTGTATGTTTTGAAAATTATCATGAGAGTTACTCGAACAAGAGGTCCAGCTTCCACGGCCGCTATCTGCTGCTTCTATTGTGAGGTGCTCATGAGAAATCTCCTCGGTGCTCATGGAAGATGGAACCGGCAACCCCCGGATCACTGGAGGTCTAGGCAGGGGCCAGCTTAAACTGAAGACAGCACAAATTAGAAGGGAAATAAAAATGCTGTTGAAATTAAGATGCAAGCAAATCAGTAGGGACAGAATCAATGTTAAAACTGCAAGGTTTTATCATTCAAAATAGCAAGGAAATACATTTTGCACTTCCTTCAACATTTAAAAAATATTAACTGAATGTGACAATAGTCTTAATTGCTGTTTATCCAGGTATATTTAACAACAAGCTGGAGCTATGATTTTCTTTTAGATAAATTAATTGCCCATTTCTGCCAAGCTTTTCCAAAGTCATCAAATGTAGTTTTTTTTTATCTTTGCTTCTTTTTCCAGTGAGAACTGACCAGTAATATTCATATGTTCCTGTCTGTAAATAACAGAAATTTCAATATATTTATAAACTCATCTTTGTATTTAAAAGATGTCTTAGAAGCAAACTATTATTAAACACTTCATTAGGATTAAACCCCTCATTGGGATCTTTATTTTGTAAAATCCTTTGGTAAGGATTATATGTTTGTTTGTTTTTTTTACTTATAAACTGCTCAAAGTTACTTAGAGAGTGAAATGGTGATATGTAAATTTGATAAATAATTTTTTTTTCTTTGCCAAGAGCAGGGAATAATCAATGGAAATTAAAACACAGGTTTGTGCTGTGCTTTAAAGAATATTACCTGCATATGCCTAGGATTTTGTTTCAAGAGAGACCAGGTCCACCAAAAATACTCTCAAGCTTTTAAAACAACAACCATTCTTCAGCCTTCTGCTGGCAGCAGTCATAACAGAAATAACCAGAAGAGTGACTACATATAATGGGCACATGCCTGGAAATGCATTTCCTCCTTGCATGGCAGAACTATGAAATGGCTGTCACCAACCACTGTATCATGTTGTATCTTAAACAAAACCAAAAAAAACCCCCTTTCTTTTGTCTTTTTAATATGTTTGAAGCATGCTATGCCCAGAGGGAATTTGTTTAAATCTCACTTCCATGCATTTTCTTCCCACCTACATTACCACACCAATTTAAACTTTACTAACATAGGGATAATTCTAAATCTGAGGTTCTTTCAGAAGCTACTTTGAAGTGCTAAACGGCTTTTCAGCAGGCTAATAATCCCCTTGAGTGTGATGACACCACAAGCAGCAAATGACTTGAATGCAACATCTTGATGCTATTGCACACCAGTCAATTATCACCACCTGCCCTGTGGGAAGGATCTCTTAAGAGGGAAGGAGGCAGGGAAGAAACAGGCAAAGACCATCCCAGAAGCTGATTCATCCTTTTCTCATCCTCCTCCCACAGGGCCATTAAACCAAAGGCCTTGGGGAAGACCCTAGAGCAGGGGTGTCAAACTGCCGGCTGGTTGCATCATACGGAGGCCGCGCCCACCCCAGCTCCAACAATGCAAAAAGTCACAATATGTCACAACACGTCACGTGATGCAGCGCGTTTGACACCCGTGCCCTAGAGGTTTGTTAATTTATCTTAAAACATATGCTGTGGGATTTTCAACATCTAATTGTTCAAATAGCTTATAAGCTCAGCTACTTTTTTTTTTAATGCTAAAAGATAGACTATCAATAACCAATCCTGGAGGAAGAAATGATTCTTACCCAGGGCAAGACTGGTTGTATTCAAGTGGTGGCTGAAAGGGCTCTCTCCTTTCCACTGCCCCAACTGCATCCATCGCCATTGTCTGAGGCAGGCACCTCTCATCTTGAAGGGCTGCAGACATGGAGTCAGCAGAACAGTTGCTGACAATGCTGGATCGTGAGGAGATCTCACTATGGCTGGAATCGGAAAAATTCTCAGATTTGGCAGACGGGATCAGGGCATAGCCTAAACGTGACATGAAAAGACAGCATTGAGAGAAAATGTAATCATATCACTGTTCAAAGTAGTTTTCCTTGAGAGATAGCTTTTCACCATTTTATCTCTCTTCTTACAAGAGTTTTTGTCATTTGTTTTACGAGAGTTCCTTTTGCTCAATGGAAGACAATAAAATACAACAGAATGGAATAATTCCTTTATGAATTAATTTTAACGTTAAGGGACAAAAACGGTGTCACTCCTTTCACCGATCTGTTTCAGAGATGATGTTATGTGCGACACCAACCGGGGAGAACCTTCAAGTGCAGCAAGTACGACTTCTTCCAAAGCTAGACAAACCTTGTTTTCCAGCTGATCAAGTAAAAGGACACTGTAATCAAAAGCAATGAGCCAACTACAGACTCAATAGAAATCAAGGGTATAGGCTTTTTCTGCAGGTGGAATGCTTTCTCCCGAAGAAGCTGTTCTGTTTGTGCAGTTACATGCTGTTCCTCCTGCATTGCTTCTATTCAACCAACATACCAAAGGCATATTGATTTAGCTGTGCAAGTACAGCCTGAACTCTCCGCAGGTGTTGTTTCACTGTATTTGCAAACAGGGTAAAAGTGCTAGAGGACTGTCTTTGTTTTCTGTTTCAAGATCAGATATTTAAGAAAATATCTAACTACATAGAATTTTAATTTTGTTTCTCATTTAGCATATGATGGGATTATTGATCTAACACCTCATTTGTGATTAATTGTCTGCAACTATCTCTTTTTCTGCTACGGAGACGGTTATAACTAACTGTGGCTTTATTAGAGTAGACTGAGCTCATCCAACAGATCTTTGGGTGATTTATATAGTACAACAAGGGTTTCTTATTATCTAACCACTATTTTTAAAAAGACATACTTTTTAACCCAACCTTAGGTTTCTGAAATGAAGAAAATGTGGTGAAGAAGCTGGAAACAGAAAAACCAAATTTTTAACCCAATCTTAGGTTTCTGAAATGAAGAAAATGGAGTGAAGAAGCTGGAAAAAGAAAAACCAAATTAAAAAATGGCCTGGATCCAGCAACGTCTAGGGAGAAATAAAAAGGTGCACCCTTTTGGTGCCCTCTGATAAGAGAAGCAATTGTGCAATATGTTAGAATGTTGATATTTCCTATATTCTAAGCACCCTTCTTCCTGTTTACATGATTTGAAGTAGAACTTCTATTTGAGGAGTTGGAAAGAATTCTAGAATCTTTGCTTTGCCTGCTTTCCTTATTACATTGTATGGTATTCTCTATATCAGGGCTTTTCAACCTTTTCACCCATCGTACCATTTTTAGGATATGGCAACATCCGAGTACCACCACTCGCCTAGCAAGGTGTCAAAAACTTGATCCCCCCCCCCCAAAAAAAGGAAAAAAGTGATAAAGTACAGGTAGTCCTCGACTTACAACAGTTCGCTTAGTGACTGTTCGAAGTTACAATGGCACTGAAAAAAGTGCCCCCCAAGCACAGCCGAGCAAGGCACCTGCCTGCCCGCCCAGCCGCGCTCTTCCTCCTGTCTGAGGTTTTCATTGTTGTGAGCATTTCTGTTGAGGATTGGCAGTGGGGGTGGGGTGGGGGAGTGTTTGGTTTTTATTCCCCCCCCCGTCTGGTGGGTGGTTGCAGCAGGTTTTGGTCACTTCACATGACCCTGGGACACTGTGACCGTCATAAATATGAATCAGTTGCCAAGCATCTGAATGTAAATCACAAGACCCTGGCGATGCTGCAACATTCCAGCTGATCGGCGCTTCTTCTGGGCTCAGCAGAAGCACCAGGATCAGTGCTGCTTTCCAGTTGATCGGCGCTTCTTCTGGGCTCAGCAGAAGCACCAGGATCAGCGCCGAGCTCCAGCTGGAGCCCTGACAGCCCTGCAGCTCCGGCCATCTCTCGCTCAGGCTTGTGCGGTGCTGCCGGTTCAGCTCATTCCCCTCCCCCACTACCACTTTTCTAGAATGGTTGCGTACCACCTGCCAGGTGCCAATGTACCACAGGTGGTACCCGTACCACTGGTTGAAAAGCCTTGCTCTATATAATACACTGTAAGATAATGTGCATACACCTTAACATACTGCAAATAGAAAAAGAGAATCATTTGACCTGGTTATTGGTTGGAACTATACAAATATTTTACCTATAAGCTGCATTTGAGAATGGGGAACATTTTATTATCTTACTCCATTGTTTGTGAAGAGCAGAATTAATCTGCACGGAAAGCATTACAAATTATTTTTGAATTTTAGGTAACAGAAGAAAGGTAATAAACAGTTTAACCCATCATTTTCATTGTTTTAAAATGAATTTAATTTAAAATGTTGCTGGGGAATCTTCATAGCGGTATAAATATGGGGCAGCCAGAAAGAAGAAACATTTTTGGCTCTACTGCTTCTCTAGCATTCCAGCTATCCATACTGTAAGCTGCCTAGGCGTGGGAAAACTTCGTTTAAGGAGGCAATTGTTCTGTACCAGTCTGAACTGAGAATAATAGGGGACAAGAAAGGAATTTAATATATATGCAATAAAGAAAAATTAAACACATATGAAAAAGTGACTACAGTTCATCTAAATGTCTACTTTGTAAGCTTAATTAAAAATAAATAGAAAGTGAAATATGAGTTACTTTTGTCTATTTCTAGTATTCCTCTAGTAATATCTGCCCTGGCATAAAGTTATTTTTTGTGAATGATACATGCAATTACTGAAAATTTCCCTTTACCTGCCAGTACAGGGAAAGAATAATCTCTTCCATTGACATGAGTGTCAATTATCATTTCATATCAACCTTATAGCTGACTCATAGTATGTCACTATGCAGGATTCCTACAAATTTAAGCTGTATTAAGTTTCACACTTTTTAATCTTTTGGACTATAAATGTTGAAACTCGTATGTTCTGATCTAGATGTTAGCTTCAAAAAGATCAGAACATACAACTTTCGACATTTGTATTCCATTTTTCAATTACTTAGGAGAAAAACATTTAGGCAGGAAAAACCAAAGGCACAAGTACAGATTGGGCGAGACCTGGCTTAAAAACAGTAACTGTGAGAAGGACCTTGGAGTCCTAGTGGATGATCACTTAACCATGAGCCAGCAGTGTACAGCCGCCGCCAAAAAAGCTAATATAATCCTGGGTTGTATAAACAGAGGCATAGAATCAAGATCATGCAAAGTATTGGTACCGCTTTATAAAATCTTGGTGAGACCACACCTGGAATACTGTAGCCAATTTTGGTCACCATATCACAAAAAAGTTGTTGAGAGTTTGGAAAAATTTCAGAGAAGAGCAACTAAGATGATCAAAGGCCTAGAGACTAAAACATACAAAGAACAGCTGCAGGACTTGGGTTTGGCTAGTCTAAAGAAAAGAAGAAATAGAGGAGACATGATACCAGTATTCCAGTATTTGAAGGCATCAAACTATTCTCCAAAGCACCAGAGGGCAGAACAAAACACAATGGTTGGAAACTGATCAAAGAGAGAAGCAACCTGGAATTAAGGAGAGACTTCCTGACAGCGAGGACAATTAACCAGTGGTATAGCTTGCCCCCAGAAATCGTAGGGGCCCCATCACTGGAGATTTTAAAAAAGAGGCTAGACATTCATCTGTCTGAGATGGTATAGGTTTTCCTGCTTGAGCAGGGGGCTGGACTAGAAGGCCTCCAAGGTCCCTTCCAGCTCTATTCTATTCTATTCTTATTTGAGACTGCAGTTGGAAGCTGGTTCAGAATTTAAAGGAAATTTCATACTACATACAACACATTTATAGTTTGGGCTTTAGCTGATGTAAGAGCAATAGAGACCCTGAAGGCATAGAATATGAGGATCAAACTGAGCATAATACCGAGTTTTGAATGTCTTTTCTTTTTTACACTAAAAAGATTGAACATAACAAGAGTCGCCTGACAGTGAGATGGGCAGCATAAAAATTAAGCAAACAAGTTCAGAAGGATTATTTAATGCCTTTCTCCCCTTCTGTTGGTCAACTAAAATTACTAATCTTTCCAGTTCTGCCATGAACTTTCGTGTCCCACCTCCTGATAAGCCACAGGAAATGTTGCCATTCCAAACTATTACTAGCTGCACTCAAGCAAGGCCTCATCATCCATTCGGAGGTCAGAACACCTAATAATATATTCCTTACCACTCTCTTTTTTCTCACACAATATTTTCCTCTTCAGTGATTCTGCTTACTGAGAAACAACCTAGAATATGAAGTTAAGATATCCTAATATCTATGGACACTTCATGTTTCTCATACTAAGTCTGTATCTTCTTTCCTTATGTATGCAAATGCATATAGGTACTGTATATCCTATAAAATAATGCTATTCAAAATCTTCTAATTTTAAGAATTTTATGAAGTAAAACATTGATTAATCATGACTGAGCTATTCAAGTGAGAGTAATTGATTACTTAAAAGGAAATACATACCTTTTTAGTAGTTATTCGGCTGTTATGCTGATATACAGTTTAATATCTATCTCTATAACTAATATTTGTATATATCCATTAAAATATTTAGGATGTGAAATTAAATGATCTGATTATATAAGTTATACAAAAATATTATTTAAGAGTAAATAATCTAAATTATGCTCCATAAATTACACATTACCTCAAATACATGCATTTAAGATAAGTAAATATCTGTACATATGCTGTACATATTGTGGTCATAATAGCAATTATAGTTTACAATGTTTTAAAATCTACACAACTGAAAATTTGTCCTCTTAGATATAAACTGCAAAGCACAATCTGAATCTGTAAAACATAACTAACTGGGATTCTAAACCAAATATGAAAATATGATCCATGTTTATAAATGTTTTTTGAAAATCCCTTGGGCTTCATTTGGACTTCTTTCCAAGTAAATATAGATATAAGCAAACAGTAAGACTTGAATTCTCTACTCAAATTTTATGTTTACGGCTTTAAATATTTCAAGCAGCACAGCAAGCTTTTTCTGCACTATTTTATTTATTTCGCTAATATAATCACAATCTCCATGAATTATGTTCACCAATAGAACTATAAGTATACAAAAAAAACCTTCTTCACAGAAGTAACCAGCTATGTGACAAAGCAGCCACACCATTATTAGCAGAAATGAATGAATTGTAAATGGTACCATATAATTGACTACGGGCTAGAAAGAATGGTAGTAAAAGCATATTTAAACCAGAATGTTATGTAGCCTATTAATTATTTATTGACTTTTTGCCTGATACACAAAGCCAACCAAACTCCATGGAAAGAAAGCCATAACCTGATATTTAAGAAGGGCTAAGCTTGGTTTCCTAAAGGATAGCTGGAACAATCAATGCTCAGAGTTCACCGTCAGAATTTGTGGCATGGTTTTCTCTAAATAATCACCTAAAGAGGGGCAAATGCCCCCACTTCTACTAATAGATTCATATTAATATTCAAAATGAACAAGATATAGAAAAATATATTTATCATCTAGCCATTTCCATCTCAAGGGGGGGGGATGAGGACGATAAACAAAAAAATATTTAACTTCTATGAAAACCAGTGCACAGCAATGCCGTGAGCTGAATGACATGTCATAGTGTCTTCCTTCTTTTCGGTCTGAACTGTGGACACAACCACATCAGTGAGCTACTGTTTCCATGGTCGCTGGCTGTATGTCCCTCGATACCGGGCCTGTCCTTTTGCTTCTCACTTCTATCCCTCTCGCGCGCGCATGCTGGTTCCACATGAAAGGTGAACGCTGATCTTTCCCTGGAGATACTTCTTTCCCTGAATCTTCCAAAGGGGGATCCCATTCTTTTCCTGGCTTTGTACAAAGGCTCAGGCTTGCCTCTATCCTCCTCACTTTCTCGCTTTTCGATACTGACTGATCTTTCTGCTGTCTTGCTAGTCATCTGCTGGATTTTCTTTTGCAAATAAGCCCCACCTATTCCATAGCTGCGATGTCCACTGTTCTTGTTGCTTGTTTCACTTGCAAGAGAGGAAGACGAACCAGACAGATTAAGCTGGCTGCAGTTTTCAGACCTCTGTGAGTTATTAACTACAAAGGGAAAAAAACATATAAAACAAATCACATAATGACAATAAACTGCTTTTCTTCAATATACATAATGTTACACTTGGATAAAGTACAGAAAAATATACAACTGTGAGGTTAAATGGATAGTGACAAAACTGTGGATGTTTCATTAGTTAAAGGACAAATCATCTAATTTTAGTTCTGTAAATGAGATGCTAATCAGTGCAGGGGCTACTTTTGTCAGACCAAGTCTATTCTTAAAGGAGAAAAATCCTTACAAGTAAAAAAAATAGTATCCTTAGAAGCATAAGAAAGTAAACTAAAACACATGTTTATGGAGAAGAATTCCAGCAGAAATAAAGTTTGGCGAGTTCCAATGAAATGAAACTTGCCAACTAACTATTCAAACAAAAAACATATACACAAAGTCCTCTGGCTTTTATTAAATGTATTCCTTTTTAAAGCATACAGAAGAACACATAGCAGTATTGGACGGATACTGCAATCAATAACTAATGTATCTGTAATCAGGAATTTATCCAAGGCATTAAACTCCGAATCCAATCATAAAATATCTTGGGCACTATTTTAAAACACTTTAAACACATTTAGATATTATACGCAATAAAGCTTTTCATAAATGTATTAAGCTTATCTTGTTCCCCAGAGTTAAGACATGGCCCATTATAAATGCCTAAAATATCTTGAGGGTACTGAAGAAGACAAAGTCAGACTAACCAATGGTGCAGTCTTAAAGCTGAGACTGCGCTTACCTTTGCGTGGAGATTCCTGAGGGGAAGCAGCAGGGCTGGAATGCAGTGATGATGCCACAGAGATGTCATCTTCTGGGTGCTTTTTACTGCTTGGTTCTTCAGATAAACTAAGTGACTTTTGAGGAGAACCTGCACCTAGGGATGAAATGTTTATGCTTGTAATTCAGCCTGGAATATTCCTACAAAATTATTGTTTTTATTTTGTTTTCCCAAGATAGTCTCAAACTTAAATGATTTTTAAGTAAATCTGTAAATCAAGTAAATCTGATCAAGATATAATTTTGCGGAAAAAAGCAGTAAAATATAAGAGTATTTATATATTTACAGAATTGCAAAACACACAACATAAATTAATCATATTCATATTTTTTTTTTTTTTAAATTTTATTGACAAAACAATTAAAACAAAAAGGGACATGACATGACGTTCCAGTATACATGATCCTAGTAATTCGTTCCTTATCATATTTAAAGTTCTAAATATACATCTCTCTACGTATTAACACATAATTTTATATACCACAAATTTAAACTTTAACTCAAAACCCGACCAGTTCTTCTTG